CACAAACTCCAATTGCATTCATCATCGATGCATTGTGTTCCAAATTCAATGAGCCATAAGCTATAGACCGAATTCTTTCTAATAAGCTTACATCAAGGAATATTTCCTCTTATTTGATTCTTCATGAAACTACGAAGAGTAAAAGTAAATGAACTAAACTTCATTGCAACCTTAGTTTCGAAAAACCCAAAATCCAGATAATCAAGCCCTTTTCGTCGTTAGATACCCTCGAGTAAGCAAACAATTAAGTAGCAAATTACTTTTAAGTGGCTCCATTCATGAAACCCAATCCCCAAAACCTTCAAAAGCACTGTGAAGTTCAAAACAAAAAATGAACAAAACACAATTGAGGTACCTTATTGAGCTTGCGTTGAACCTGCAAAAGTAGCCACAAGAACATAAGTATGCCTCCCATATTCCACAAAATTATACAAAGAGACCCATCAATCAAATGTATCCTACCAAAAAAGAATCTAAAGAGATGATCTAAGAAAAGGGGTAAAAAAGAAATTTGTAATCAGAAGCTTAAAAAATCGAGAAAAAAGAAAAGGAAAATAGAGCAAAAGGAGCTTGCACTAGATAGGATCTAACATCAACTACTGCTCAGCGTGGAGAGATCTGTATCTCCACGACTGCTCTGCGCAGCGTGGAGAGGCAGAATTGGGAAAAGAATATGATAATTAGAGTTCTTTTCACTTGTTTACATACTCAAGGAAGGCAAATGTGGGACTTTCCCTAGGTAGGGCACGAACTCGCCCTCCTAAGCACAACCTCTTCTTCCATTGCAATCCTGTGAGCAGCTTCCCTTGATCTTTTCTGAAGTTCCAAGCTGCAAAATAAATTTAAGATACATTACAAGTTGGATCCAAATGGTTTTCCAAGCAATGTCATTGAAAGCATCGAGTGAAGAAGTTTGAATATTAATAGAAAAGTTAGAAGTCAATAAAGAAACATACTTCCAACTCATTAAACATGTAAAGCTCAACTTGAGTTCTATGGTAGAATGAGCATGTTTGGCAACTGTTTGTTGTCAACTGATTTTAAAATAAACAAATACTTCTTTTATTGTTTAGAGTTGGAAATACAGTATAATTACTTCCAATATAAAACTTTTGTGCTTAAAAGTGAGAAATTGTGACATGTTTGGATGCAAAAGTAAATTTTTCTTTTAAACTTGCCCAAAAATGCTAATAGTCTCGTATATTATGCAACCAGGGAAAAATGATTGGCCAGTTTCACCGGAGTGCAATGCTAATTCTCAGATGTAAAAAATTAATCAAAAGATAAAAAAACAACTTTTGACTGATAAGATAAGAATAAAGATATTTACAAAGTTTTGCAAGTATGCACGACACAGGAAATCAACAGAAGTTAAATTTCAGGAGAATAAACCAAACAATAACTTTCAGAGCAAAAGGCAATAATATTCATATTGTTCAATTATAAACCACATTTAAATATAAAGATCTACAGCAAACCATGATAACACACTTTTTGCCTGGGACAAGACATAAATTTAGTGTTCAGTTTAGCAATCAATAATGGCTAAATTCACAAGGATTCACACCCACATTTTTCTTTCTCCCACTCCCCCACCCCGCCACCCCTTAATTGAGGCAAGGAAAATGAGAGAGTAACATTCTTGATGCAAGGTCATGAATAATTTACTTTATTTTGTTGTAGTTTTTCAATGAAGATAAACCATTTTCTATAAAACTTATACCCAGTACTTTTTTCCTTAACTATGGAAATCACATTTGCCACAGCCCATTCTGCCATATGTTCTAGTTTTTTGGTTTTTTTTTTTAATACATTTCTACAAGTAAAATAATGAATTATTTTCTAATAGCATGAAAAAAAAGACTGAGATCACCTCGAGAATATTGAAAGACTGTCGAGTGGTTGTGATGATAACATCCCGAAATCTCTCTTATACTTCCCTAATCAGGGCCGGTCATATGATTGTTAGGGCCTGAGGCGAAGTCTGTAAATTAAACCCCCCCAGCGAAAGCAACGTAAATACAAAATTCAACGGTGTATTATGTGATCCATTGATAACTTATAAAACTAACATTAAACAACAACCAAATATATTAACTATTTACCTAAAATTCCCAAATTGTTGAATTCTAAAACAACAACCAAATTGTTGAATTTGAAACACACAAAAATTTATTTTTACTATACAAAGAACTTGTACAATTAATTTTTGACAAACACACCTTACTAAAATAATTTCACTCTAAGCAAGCACCTCAATCTTTAATTATATCATTCCTCTAAATTCTCTCACAATAATGCACTGCCCGCCTGCCTCTCTGTATCTTTCTTTTTGACTATTCTTCCTGCTCTCTTCCTTTTTTCTCTCACTAATCTCTTTCTCACTTTGCCCCACTATCTTCACACTTTCAGGCATACATATATTTTGTTTTTCACTTCTTTCATCTACTTATACTCAAAGTGGAGAGGCTGTACACATGCATATATATGGTGAGCTATTGTCGGTGAAAGATTTCTCTAAACAATTCTAGCAAATCGGTGCCGGTGGATGCAAATAATTCTTACCAATTTGGATTATTCTAGACTTCTTCTAGATTATGAAGCAATTTTGGAGACATAATCGGTTGCTGTAGGCCTTGCAGAATCCATAATTGAATGTAATCTGAAACTTTCTTCCCAAGTCGGTGTTATATCTCCATGTGAGAGGAGAGACGGCGAGCTGGAGTCCGTGGGGAAAAGCAAATGATTTCGCCTTTCAGTTTATTAATTTAATTGCAAAAAAGAAAAAAGAAAAAAGAAAAAAAGTGAGGCCCCTTTCTAGTTTTGGGCCTGAGGCCTGCCCTGAGGCGCGGGCCTCATCTGCCTCGCCTCAGGACCGGCTCTGTCCCTAATCTTAATCTATGCTACAGTGCCACAAATTACACATACAAACAATCAATCACAATCAAATTGGAATGTACATAAAATACATATGTATGTATGGGTGTGTGACCTGAGAGGAGGACCAGAGATTGAAGTGAGAAGGAGAGACCTGTGCTGCACGGAGACATCCGTATAATTAAAATTTTGTTTTTGTGAATACACAATTATGGAAACTTTTTGAAAATGAACGATAAACTTCCTAAAATTTTAAACATAAATTTATTCTTATTTTTATGATTTTAAATCTATGTGTGGTTATAGAATAATATTATTCAACATTCTTTTTTTAAGTGGAAATTAAAAAAAAAATTGAATTTATTGAAAACGTCTGAGCTTGTTTGGTACATATTTTTAGCCAATTAAAATCAATATTTGA